CCCCCCCCCCCAAGTAACTTAGATGGAGCCTCAGTCACGTTTCTGTCCCCAGTTTATAACTTCTCTTCCCCCCCCCACCCCACCACGAGGGATGCTCCTGGGAGCGCCTACTGCTTTGTGACAGTCTTGAAGAGCCAACCCGGAGGTTTGGCAGCCCAGGCACAGACTCTAGCCCCAAGAGCTGAACCAGGCAAGTGCCATTTTACTTACCCGTCAGGAACACGCAACTCCTTCTCTCCCAGGGCTTATCCCTTGCTTACCAGACCGGCTTAGTGCAGAGCAAGTATCATTTAGAACTATTCCTATAAAAAAGACTTAGCCGAAAGCCCGGGAGGGGGCTCACGCATCGCGGTACAACCCGCACGCATCTCGACGTGGAAAAAGAAAAGAAGCGCGCGCCAAAAGAAAGAGCACATTTCCCAGCGCTAACTTTCGAGCTGGAGGACGACACAGGCTTAGCGGAGGGTGTATCCAAAAACCTCCAAACGCGGAGGTCTCCACTCCCACAGCTCTGCCCAGCAGGCAGAAGCAGGCCGGGGGCTAGGACACAAAGGGGGCACTCACCGGCTTGGGCATGGTGGCTGCTAGCCGGGGCCGGGGGGGGCGGCGGCAGCTGGTTGCTGGGCGCGGTGCAGAGCGGGGCGAGGAGGCGCTCGCAGCTACTGGCTGCCCCGACAAGTACTCGCGGGCGGAGGCCCCGGCCGGGCTCTTAAGGGCAGGGCCGGGGGGAGGGAAGCGCAGCGCGAGGGTGATTCATGCCCGGGCCCGGCCTTTCCTGCCGCCCCACCTCACCCCAGGCGCCGCAGCCGGGCAGCCCGACACGCCCTGGCCTCCAGGGCGGCCCGCGCAGGTGCGGGCGGGACTGGGGCGGGACTGCGGGCCCGGCCCGGCCAGTTCTGCGTGTGTGGGGGCGTGGTGTGTTGGGTGTGTGTTGTGCGTGTAGGGAGTGTGGTTGTGTGTTGTGCACGTGTGGAGGGAGTGTGGCTGTGCATGTCAGGAGTGTGGTTGTGTGGGGTGTGGAGGTAATGCGGTTGTGCACGTGTGCAGAGGGACTGTGGTGTGTGTGTGTGTGGCTGTGTGTGTGTGTGTGGAGGGAGTGTGGTTGTGCCTGTTGTGTATGTGTGTGGAAGGGGGATTCGTGTGGCTGCAGGGCTGGAAGAAGCGGGAGAGAGGAAGGGCTGTGGCTGCTCAGGGCACCTCTTTCTCCTCTACCCTGCTTGTCTTCTGGAGCCACGAAATGGGCACCTGTGCATCTGCCCTGGCTGCACCCCTCAATGCTGATGTAGCCGTTGGTGTCCCCCCAACCCAGCTTAGAGCTGTGCCTGCCCTCACAAGAGCAGGGGTTTGCCAGCTGTGCCCGTCACACATTACATTTATTACACTATGCACAGGTGATGCATGTA